CTGGTGTAAAACATGCATTTTGGAGCTAAAATGGTGACTTTATGAAGATATGAGCAAAACGATGTTTAAGCTATCGACCGATGCACGTTGAGAGCAATCGACCGATAGATGATTACCCGTATCGATCGATAGATGGCATTTTGCATCGATCGATACATAAGTTATCCAAGCGATTAAATGAAGATTAGAAGCCCTAATTGCTTCATAAGAGTTTTAATAATTTACACAATAAGTCCCTGGCCGCCTGTTAGGCTATATTAAGAGGGTTTTGTACTAGTTTAGGTAGACAACTTTGGAGACCTTTTAGACCTAATTAGAAGAAGCATCTAGCTACACTTGAGAAGATTTTTGATGGAGAGAGAGATCTGAACTACAATTACAGAGAAGATCTTGAACTCCCTTTTTACTTATTGTTTCTTTTTATTATTATCTTAATGTATTATTAAGACCATCATGATTTTGTCTCTCATGAATATGTTTGAGTAGTCTCTCTTGTTTGATTTAGGTTTCTCATTAAGGTTGACTCATGCATTGAATTAAACCATTATTAGGGTGTTTAAAATATAGTTCTCAATCTAGTTATCAATGAATGCTAAGGTCAAAGAATGATCACCCTTGCCTCTGATTTTAGGATCAATTTGGACAAGCGATAGCTTGGAAAATACCCTAAGTCTAAGTTAATTTAATGAAAACTAGATAATCCATTCAAACACACCTTTACCGCTCGCTGGATGCGATATCGATCGACGAGACGATAGTCGTGTCGGCCGATATAGCGGCATTTACATCGATTGATAGCTTCGACAGAAATATCGATCAATATTCCCTTAAGGTTATCAGACGATAGTCCTAACCCGAAATCCAATAGAGTTAACCCTTAAATTCCTTAAGAGTTTGAATCTAGAGCTATGAATAATAAAAACCCTTTGCAATTTGCATGTATGTCATACCTGAGAAGATACCTAAGTTTAACTATCTTCTTCCTTCTTAACAAACCAATCAATCAATCAAGCATTTATTTGCTATCTTTTAAGTTACTGTTTAAAATCTTATTGTCTAGCTTTATTTCGAAGACTTAATTATCTGTTGTGTAATTCTAGAGTCCTTGTGGATTCGATCCCTAAGTACTACGATTGAACCTCTTATTTGAGAGAGTAAATCACTAATTAGGGTTAAACATTTGAGTGATATCACCACGCCAACAAGCATGGCTAACCGTGGTAAAATTTTGGCAATAACCGCGAAATGAGAAATAATTGGAGTCAAAACCGATTAAATTGGAGGCAAACCAATAGGTAAACCAAAATTTTACCATAGCCACGACTAACCCACGAAACTCACATGGCTATTTGGTAATATAAACCGCGAAACCAAAAAAAATGGAGCCAAAACCAAATACATCAGAGGCAAACTAACTTGTATTCTTCAATTCTATTATAGCCACTACCCAGCCACGAAATATGCGTGGCCAGGCTCAAATCTTGAAACCGCAAACATCTAACCCCTAAACTATAATCCCTAAACCCTCTTTCTTCTACCTTCTATATTTATACAGCAACTTACATACATATTTCAAAAATCATACAATATATTTTAAAACCTTACAATATTTTTTATAACAATATATTTTAAAACATAACAATATTTTTTATAACCATATATTTTACAACCTTACCATTAATTATACATCTACCAATATATTATAAAACACTACTAAATTATTTTACAACCTTCCAGCATATTTTACAACCTTGAACACATATTTTACAATCTTGGAATATATTTTTCTATTCTGAATCATCACACGAATCACTATCTTCTTCTACATCACCATCTGATACATATTCATCGTTTGGAGGATTCACCGGAGCAATATCATAATCAGACACATCATCAACAACATGTGTTTCAACCCGTAACAATGAACTTTCAGCAACCTGATCACGTCTATCATCTTGCCATGCCGTTAAAGAAATTTCTGAAGTTTCTCGAACTCCTCGAGGAAACATTTTTGCACATATTTCTTCTCCGGTCAACCACGGTGGAGGAGGATCTAAAACTGTTTTTCCCCGTCTAAATGCTTGAGTGTTTCTTCTGTAAGGATGATCTGCATCTAAAAACCTTATGTGGCAATCAAACCAACTATGTTTCCTTCCATTAGATAACCAGAATGCACCAGTCTCATCTTGACAATATGGGCATGACAACCGACCATGAGTCGTCCAACCTGAAAGCATCCCATAAGCAGGAAAATCGCTTATTGTCCACATCAAAACTGCTCGCATTTTGAATCTTTCTTTCATTGCGATATCATATGCCTCCACACCATCCCTCCATAACATCTGTAGTTCTTCAATCAATGGCTGAAGGTAAATATCTAAGCTTTTTCTTGGATGTTTAGGCCCGGGAACTAGCACCGAAAGGTAAAGGAATTCTCTTTTCATACAAATTCTTGGAGGCAAATTGTATGGAGTTACAATAACGGGCCATAGGGAATGTGCTTCTCCATTCATACCAATCGGATTAAATCCATCTGTTGATATGCATAGATAAATATTTCGGCTTTCAGCAACAAATCCAGGATATACCTCATTAAAGTGTTTCCACGCTATGGCATCAGATGGGTGATGCATTTCGCCTTCCGGAGTCACATGTTCCTTATGCCACCGCATATTGGAAGCTGTCGCCTCGAGTTGGTATAGAAGTTTCAGACGATCTGCAATAGGCAAGTAAAACATTCTCTGCTTTGGCTTGTTTTTCCCTTTTCCATTATTTGGGTAGTAGCGATTTTCTCCACAAAACCTACAACTAACCAAATTCGCATCCTCCTTCCAAAATAGCATACAATTCTTCACGCAAACATCAATCTTCTGTAGGGGTAACCCAAGCCCTCTTGTCAGTTTCTTAGTTTCGTAATATGTTGTTGGAGCATTATTCGGCTGCGGAAGCATTTTTTTAAATACTTCAGATATCTCATCTACACAAGCTTCCGCCAAGTTATAATATGTCTTCACTTTCATCATCCGCGAAGAAAGAGACAACTGAGATACTCCGTCTGCACATCCTTCGTACAGAGGTTGACTAGCTGCTTCAAATGCTTCAAAAACACTATCACAATATGGCTCTGCTACGTCTGTTTCTTCTATAGGTTCCACTATGTATGGTGGCGCAATGTCCGCTGGTACTTCTGAATCACCTTGGTAGTGATCTTCATGAGCATTCCAAGTAGGATTCTCCAACATTTCCTCTTCTCCTGCTGAATGATTCGCTCCAAAACACTCACCAACAATGTAGAATTTCTCTCCATGACTCGTCCAAACATAGTAATTTCCCTTAAAACCGTATAAGAATAGATTTCTTGAGACAACTTTTGCATCTCGTTGCTTTACATTTTTGCATCGAGCACACGGACACAATAACGTTTTTCGCTCCTTGTAATCTCTTTGACTACACGCAAATTGAAGAAATGCATTCATACCTCCGAGAAACACTTCTGAAACAGAATTACTTTGAGGATCAATCCTCTGATCCATCCATTCCCTTGAATCAAAGTAGAAAGACATATTTTTTCGTTTTGATCAAAGAAAAAAAGACATTTCCTTTAGGAAAATTTGTTTGAAGAACAAAAGCTCTTAATGTCTCACGGGATATGAATATATTAATGGACATAGCCACGCCACAGCCACGATAAATTCGTGGCTAGATAAAATATCACTGCCACGCGAATCTTTCTCTGCTCCGAAGTCAAAACGTTAAACATAGCCACGGTGAACCCATGAAAAAAGCGTGGCTGTGTATAGTTATTCACTATTTGATGTCGGCACAAAGAAACAAAAAAAAAGAGCCACGAACATGATAGTGGCTATTTCGTGGTTACACACAGGCCACGAAAGTTTCGTTGCTTTACCGTGGCTATATTAGCCACGAAGACTTTTCGTGAAAAATTCGTGGCCATATTTCGCGTTTGCCGTGGCTTTGTATCTTTTGTGGCTTTTACGTGGTAGTTTCGTGGCTTTTTCAATACAGCCACGATTTTGTAGTGGCACTACCGTGGCTATGCGGTAGATTTTTACTAGTGTCAGGTCGCTATGAACCCCCACGAGCCAGCATAGTGACTACCGTAGCGACTTGGGTTTGTCGCTACAGATCCTGAAGACGCCACCAAACCGTAGCGACCAGAGCATAGCGGGATAACCATGTCGCTATTAAAGAAACATTCTGTCTTTTTATTTGATTTGTCCTACTTGTTTTGGGATTAGTATAAATACCCTTAAACCTTATTTTAGGGATCTTATCTTGTATTCTCTCAAAACCTAAGTACTTATTTGGTGAAAGATCATAACTTTATCTTCTTTTCATCTTATTCTCTTAAGTTTGTTGAGTAATCTTGATTTCTAATCATGTTTAACCAACAATCAATCATTGTTGTTAGGCTAATCATGTGTATTAGTGAGTAGATCCATTTTAGATTCATGGGATAGGTTGGTAAGGGTGATTAAGTGTAGATCTAAGGTGTCAGGTGTTAGATCTTTGTGTTTCCTTGTTCAAATTAATAATTTTGAACTTACATGATGTTTTGTTTTATTTCTATAGTTAGATATATGTGAAAACTAAATTAAGTTGAACCTACATGATAGCGAATAAATTTTTTGAATGCTGTATAAAAGCATTTTACAGAATTTTTAATTTTTTATAAATTAAAAATGAAGTAGATTTTTAATTATATTTGATAACTTCAGTAGCCAACAGCTCTTTGTATGTACACTGCTGGCTTCAGAAGGATTCTCTTTTAAAGAAACAAAGAAAGGAAACAAAATCCAAAAGAGGTTAATCAAGAAAGATATGTTTTATTTTATGGTTTTGAGTATTTTGTGGTCTCTTAATCTCTTGTATTTTTTAATCAATAATGCGAAGAAACTAAGTTCTGGATTGTATATATGAGATATACATGCATGTATAACTGTTTCATGTAGAATGGATCACATCAAACCCTTTCTTTATCACATCGTGTTGGAGATGACAAGAACAAACCCACAAATATTCTGAAAATCACCACTTTGCTTCACAACTGAGGGATCAACTTTGACTTTCGCCAACCCATCTTGACACGTTGTAGATCCTTCCATAGCTGCTGAAACCTTGATATTCAGACCTGGACCATCTCCTGCCGCTAAGCTCTTCTTAGCTTCACCGAGACTGCTGATTGTATTCTTGTACTGCTCCTCGCACGAGGTGTATCATTTCTTCAAAGCGGGGTTAGTTTCTTTCGTGGCTAGAGATTTAATCTTCGTCAAAGCTCCTGATGCACTTGTTTGGGCCAGCCGAATGTGATCGTTGCAAGCGTTTTGATATCAACACCTGAAGTCTTTTGGTTTGATTTCATCATGTAGCTTGTACAGAGGATGGGTCGATTGTTCCGACACTAGATGCCCAATGTACCGTAATAGATGGTTAGAAGAGTTCATTGGCGAGTCTCACAAAAAGTTAAAGTGAGTGAGAACAAGTTCAAATTTTAATATTTGGGAGGAGACTAGATATACTTGCTTTAATTCTTGACTCGAATATAGCCGTTACCAAGATTGAAAAAAGAAAGATAGGATTAAATATTGAAGTAAATAAAATAAATTAGTTATTTATTCTACTTCTCTAGTAAGCCAAGTGTGTTTGGTTACTAGAATATGAATGTTCTCTTTCTTTATAACTAATTGTAACATTATTTTTAGATCTAAGGGAAAAAGTTTCTCTTTCTTTACTCTTTTCTCTCATCTCTCTCTTGTTCTTCAATCTCAAAGCTTCACTTTCTTACATGGTATCAGAGCTATAAGCTCTTGTGTACCTATTTTGCTTCCGCGATTTAACTCTGATATTCTCTTCTATTTGATTTATCAATATACTCCTTCTATATTTTTTTTCAGATCTACTTTATTTTGGAGATAAGAAATCTGTGTTCTTGAGTTGTAAAATTTCAGTGATTGTTTTTCCTTGGCTTCTTTGTGTAACCAGTGGGTAATAATCTCTGAAGATGAATCAATTCATACAAGTCAAGATTCCTGTTGTTCTCAAGGGAGGAGAAAACTACATCACTTGGTCTAGATTGGCCAAAACAGCCCTNGATTGTTTTTCCTTGGCTTCTTTGTGTAACCAGTGGGTAATAATCTCTGAAGATGAATCAATTCATACAAGTCAAGATTCCTGTTGTTCTCAAGGGAGGAGAAAACTACATCACTTGGTCTAGATTGGCCAAAACAGCCCTTGGAGGAAGAGGTCTTTGGGAGCATATCACCTCAAGTTCTGCACCAAGGCAAATCACCTAAGGAGAAGATGGCAAGGAGATTGTAGTGGTAGATGAAGGCAAATGGGATCATGAAGACCTCATGGTGCTGTCTATCTTGCAAAGCTCTCTTGATGGTCCTATCATGAACTCTTACTCACAATATGAAACTCCCAAACAGTTGTGGGATACCTTGAAAAAGGTGTATGGCAATACTTCAAATCTGACCAGAATCTTTGAAGTTAAGAGAGCCATCAACAATTTGCAGCAAGAGGAGAGTGACTTCACCAAGCATCTTGGGAAGTATAGTCAGCTATGGTCGGAATTGGAAATGCTAAGGCCAAACACTAATGATCCCAACACTCTTGAGGAGA